TCAACATGGCAGACTCAATGGAAGGCGACACGTTAACAGCTCATTCTAAGTTAACAAAAACAAAACGATTCCTATATCCAGGTGATTATACACTAATGACATACCTATGAATATTATATTCCATTTCTGCCCATAGATCCTCCTATATATTACACACTTTAAGTGTGCACAACCTACCTCATCTGGATATTGATAATCACAGCATGTATGAAAATCCTGCTGTTTCCTCAAAACATACTAGAGACTAGATATTTGCCAGATGTGTTGCATTAATGCAAAAACAGGCAAAACTTAATTCAAAACAAACTCAATACAGGAGTATTATTCATCAGCCACACAACATCATAAAAGAGACTCTGACCACCTGTTTGATTTTTTTCACAGAAAAATGATACGCCTAATTAAGTGATACATTTTCCCATCCAAAGCCATCAGGCTGCACCTCTATCAGCTGTCACCAAGTCCCAGAGTGAAACCGAACTACAATAACAGCCATAAAGACGCAGGAAACAGTGGGAGCTGTCTCACCTTAAACCAAGAGTTTATTCCTCACCAGGTCCTGTTCAAAGCTATCCACCCCCTTCCAGTCATTTACAAAATCCATGACTCTGACCCCATTGCTAGAGCTAATTCTGCACTCTGAGCTAACCTGCAGGTTTCCCCTCTCCAAATAATCAACATTTCTATTTCTTTTGTGCACTTTCTGAGCTAATCTACTTGATTTCATTTGCCATGTAATATGAATGAAAATGTAAGAAATCTCTTTGATTTAGGGCTGCACTAGGGCTGGGCAATAAATCGATTTTATCGATTAACTCGAATTTGTAGTTAAACACGATTAATTTTTAGTTAAAATCGGTTTTCTCTTGAACTTCCACAACACCGGTGCTCCCTTTGGACTCCCGTAGGTCAGAGTGCGCTGACCCCTCCCCACGCCTCTCCACAGATACACACAACATGGCAGCAAGCCAGTATGAGCTCGTACCCGCTAAAAAACAGTCTACATTAGTGGATTCATTTTCACATTGTGTCCCGTATGATAAGAAAGGGACCCGGTGGAAAGCTATTACTGATGCAGTCGCATTGCATATTGCTAAAGATATGGTTCCAATTTACACAGTGGAAAAGCCGGGGTTTATCCACATGCTGAAAACCTTCGACTCCAGGTATGTGCTACCAAGCCGCAAGTATTTTGCCAGAGTTGCTTTGCCTCACCTGTACAACAGCACGAGGGAAAGGATTGCTAGAGAGCTGGAGGAGGTGTGTTTTTACTCCACCACAACAGCGTTTTGTTGCACTTTAGCCCTAAGGGGAAATTTTGTTCAAATCCAAGAAGGGAAATTCAAATCAAAATAAAAGCAAAACTTGGAATAATTTCTTTGTCATTTGTAGTGTGTTTTTAAGAAGGGAAAAGAAATCGATTAAAATCGTAAATCGGGTTTGGTGTGAAATAATCAGAGATTTTATTTTTAAGCCATATCGCCCAGCCCTAGGCTGCACATGAAAAAAAATCATCATTTTGATAGCTATTACAATTGTGATATGATTCACAATTAGTGGGCATTATCATTTTTGCATCACAATTTTCAAATTCAAATTTTTTAAATAATGATCATGTGAAATTTGTTTTCTTACATCTGAAGAACAAGATTTGTAGGCCAGGCTATCTCTGTAGCACTACAGTACTTCATTATAATGCTGTTTGTCACATTTTACATTTTTTATCAAAACATAGTAGCTTCTGCAATTTGGATCATATGGTCATATTGTGATTTCGATAATATCTATTTTGCAGCCGTACTTAACTACTGAATACCTAAATAGTATTTTATGTCAGTTTATACTTTTTATGTATATATAACTCTTGAAATATTTTGTTTTGACAAGGAAGCAGTGTTAAAGTTGTTGATATACTTTTTTGTTGCAGTTTGCACAATACAAAGACCATTATGGATCGTTTGCTACCCCTTGTGCACACAGAAGGTGGGGAAGAAGGTCCCCAGGTCACAGGTAGCTTTTGGTGCAGTATCACAGTTGATCACTGAGACAAATCATGGACTACAGTATATGCAGCTCTTTTAAAGCCCTACTGAGACCAACTATGTCATGCTAGCATGTGGGGAAGGAGGCTAAATAATGCCCCAAATTTAGGCTAATATATAGGCTATATAGGCTAATTTAACTGTCAATCAAACCTGGCAACCCAACTATATGAGCAAAGGACTTTTGAGAAGCTGCATGCAGTTACTGCACCAAGTTCTAGTTCAAGAAACAACTACAACACTAGGAGAGTACAACGTCTCACGCTTCCATTCCTATTTCTACACATATTCAATAAACATGATACAAAGTGACTCAGATGTAGCTTAAGTAGTTCCTTTCTGACCAGTGACTTCCTGTCCTGGGCCATTTACACCTCTAAAGTGTATTGATATCACTGCCTTCCTCTGACACAGAACATCAGCAAAGAATGTCAGCATCTTCCTGTAAACTTAGCAACAAAGGGCCTCAACACAGGAAGTGATTTCACTGAGACACAAAAAACTATTGCCATAATTCTAGTTAGTAAGTTGAAAATGATTTATTCTGCTATTCATTCCTTACTTAAATATGTAAATCTAATAATAAAATACACTTAATAAAAAAATAGGTGAAAATAAGTTGAAGTGTTTCAATTACATTACCACTTTAATTAACCTGTACTTACATTTAGTGAATAAAGTCAAACATATGAATTTTTTATTAAAAAAAATTGTTTCAATAAATAAAATGAGTGCAAAGCATCACTGCGATATTTCTTTTTACATTTTTAGGGAATTATTAGTTTTTACAGCATGATTCGTCCACCACCACTCGCATGTAACATGATATATATATATATTCCATCTTTATTTTATATGGATCACATCTTAGTAATTATTACCATGAAAGCCTAAAACTGGAAAGTTTTGATGACAAATCAAAAGAGTTTTCCATACGACCAAAAGACAATGCAAAATCCAACTTGAAATCCATCCAGTAAAGCAGAGCTTACAGGCAGTGTAAGCAGCTGGCAGTGTACATCACCACAACAGTCCAATCATATTGCCTCCAACTTAAAAATGATCACATACAGTTGCTCACACAATTCATGTTTATGGTCTAAAAAGTGATGGGACAGCTTATTTTCAACCTGCTGAAACATGCATTATTCAAGCTTCTCAAGGAAGTGACTTTCACGAGGTGCCCCAGACTATATACAGTACGTGCATTCTGGTGATAGCAGTGATCGTAAAACAAAAACGCTTCTTGCTGTTCTCCATTTTCGTGATCTCCTCTCTCTCTGTATGACTGATTGATTGACAGCCGAGGCCCAAGAGGGAGGGGGCGGCTATGGCAGCCCGAATCAGCAATGCTGTTATTGGTACCAATAGAAAAACTTAAATTTATTAGTTAAAAAGGCCATCGGCCCACCAGGCTGCAATAACACACTGATAATATTCACTCTAATGGAGAATGAGCTCTGTAAACAGTTTCCTAACCAATTTATGCTCTCAGTCTCTAGTTTCAGTCTTGTTCCATACAGTATGATGTTCATTTAGTAAGTTATGGTCCCATTTACAGTAAAATATACAATAAAGCTGTGAATGCTTTTGAGCAGGGCTACCTTGTGATTGACAGCTCATTGTCAAAACTGTTTAACTGTAATCTGAGGTCCTGTGTGAGCAGGCAAGCCGCCATTGTTTCCTGCTATGGACGACTCAAAACTCTGCAGCCAATGAGAGCAGCTCAACTCACAGTACGTCACCTCCGCTGGCTCCGTCTGTCATGGTGACGACCAAAATGCCAAACTTAAGGCTTCAAAACAGTAGTCCACAAACTAATGCGTGACATCATCATAGGTTCATTTTAGGAGGAGCCAGAGGAACCTGATTGTTTCACACATTATCTGTCTCATGTACTACTGTAAGGACACAGTGAAAGTTTCAGCAAATGTTCCCAAAAGTTATCTTACTGCAGCTTTAAAAAACGAAAACAAAAAAAAAGTTTTTGGGGTTATTTGATTTTCATCTTGAAATACAAAAATTGTCATTTAAATAACAAAGTGTTCTTTAAAATTGTTTTAGTTGTTTATTTTTCTATTTCGTACCTGAACTAACTAAAAATAAATGATGGAATGGGGGCAGTCATATTTCTGTCATGGCAGACAAGCCAAGAAATGAATATTTATCTTATTTGTTAATTGTAAACATTGATGGTAAACAGAGGTCAGCGTCCTGCTGGTTTGCCCCATACAGCTGATAATGTCCACTTATTAACAGTTCCCTCTGTCCCAACAAACTCCATTAAATAACTTTGCAACCCTGTTGATTGTTTGCTTAGGGCAAATATAAATAGCTCATAACCATGACTGAATACACTTGTCCGATTTTAATCACTAAAAAATGTGGAATTTAGACGGACTCAAGTCCCACTAGTGTAAATGTAGACGTTAGATTTGGGTCATTGTTCAGGAAATAAAACAAACGACGCCCGTCTGTTTATGAGTGGATGATTTCTGTCTGTCTGTCTGTCTGTCTGTTTACAGTGTTGTGTACAGTAAATACAGGAGACGGGGACTCGGGCTGGCTGTGAGCCTTGGAAGGGAAAGAGCTGCTAACGTTCGCTGACAGTTAAAGTTCCCAGCGGACATATTCCACTCACTGAGGGTCTGCACGGTTTCCTCTTCAGCTCTGCGTTTTTACCAAACATACAGCAAGTTCTATCACCATACAACATCCCATTCAGTTAGCCAGCAGGCTAATTTAAAGGGACTGCCATGCTGACGGAAAGCTGCTCTTACTGTACATAATGACGTACAACGTTAGCAGTACCTAATGCGCATGCTTGCTGGCTCTTACAGTTCTAGTAAAATGGACAACAGAGCGGAACGGGCTTCTTTAAACACGCAATGACTTTCTGACACGGGATTCTTCTAAAAACACGTTCCAACAACAAACAAACGCTGCACACACACTCACCTTCGTGTGGAAGACTCGTGCGTTTGCTTTGTGGGAAGTGTAGTTCTATGTATGCGCTGCGGTTAGGAAAAGTACGACTGTGCCACATTTATAAAACTACAAATACCAACGCGGAAGAGGAGCGAGCTTATGTTGCCTTTAGGGAAGATCGGAATAATTGTGACAGCTTTTACATTTGATATGTTTTAAATGAATTATATCACTGACATGATATTTTATTTATTCCTGTATTTAAAAGATACAGGAATAAATTCAGATTCAGAAAAATTATACAGTATACACATGTACAAACAGAAAATGTACATACACAGAACAGTGTTTATAAAAAACAAAGTAGCACTCAAAGTGCTCATATATAGTATTTTAAAATATTCAAAATAAAATAAAACTCTTGTAATTCCAAACTTATTTAAACCCAGTGTTTCCAAGTTCAGTTTGAACTTACAGTTTAAATGTAAAAATGAGCTGATATTACATTTACTGGATTTAGTGTGCAGTGTCTGCTTTAGGGCTTTAGGCTGTAGACACATTCTCAACAGTGCAAATGTCAGCTAAAACACTACAAAAACAAAAAAGTGCAAAATAAGTTTAGGGGACACAATTTCTAACGACATGACTAGGAAGAATTCTCTCTTGAAATTCTGGAGATTTGGGTGTTGTCCAGTGTTTAAAAATTGTCCAAATTGCCACTGTGATGCCTATTATTATTACAAAAAATGATATGATATTGATATGTTTTGTATTCAGGTTCGGTCCTCTAATAGACTTGGAGATAAGGGTAGTTTCCTTCCCAACCAATTGCAAAACTTTCCCACCACAAGTTGCTACTGATTAGACCAATTCTATTGAGTCTGAAATTGAAATAGTTTTCTGTCCATTTCATAAAAGCCACTTGAAGGCATACTGACACCATAATGTTCTGTGTTTAATGTTTTTTAACTCCTGGTATGACTAGATACAATAAGTGTAAAAGCCTGTTGCCATTCAAAACCACATTGTACACATTTGTTTAATGTTTTTTATGTTTAGTTGATTGATTTTGAGCTGACTCCTCCCTTTGCTTTGAGTTGCAGTGTTCTGTCTGCGACAAAATAATCTAGTCACATTTGTATTTTAAAAGTGGGTTGGCAGCTTCTGAAATGAATCATTATGTTGTTGTCTACTACTACAAAACTACTGACCGCAGTGAAACTTTCTGTTGATGTTTTTGGCCCCAGGAGAATGATCTTGAGGATGATTTTAATGCACCTTTGACTGTTCATCTAGCACCACCATCAAGCCAAAATTACACCTGGATCAACACTTAAGGTCAAGACAGCTGCCATCTTGAGTAGAGGATATACACTTCCATAATGTTTTCCCATGACGCTGTACCAACCCAGTGGTGGCATCACTGAAAGAGCAAACTTGGCTGCTGTGAATGGGAAGAGCAGCTACCAGGAAGAGAACAAACTAATTTAACTAATAGAGTTCAAAGAGGTTCAAAAGGCCCAGAACAAATGCCTACTTGTAGGGCTATTCCATTGGCACTTTTGGCCATGCAGAGTTAAACCATGCTGCTTATTGCATTTCCATTACCAGTTTAAATGGGTTGAGTTTGACGTGCCATGCCTGAGATGGACCATCTCCAGAGTTGGGCTAAAGCGAACCAGACCTGCCTCTGAGTGGGTTGCAGTGACATCTTGTTGACCAAGAGCAAACCGTGACCCCCCTCTCACGTCAAACAAGAGTGTGTTCCGAGACTCAACTCCTTTTTGTAGATGGACAATTTTTGTTCAGCTCTCAGTTCTTTCGTAGCTTCTACCTGAATTTTAGTTTAGTTTCTCTCCTGCATCTCTTGTTTCAGATATCTGCTTATTTTACTGTTTGAAGTCAAGTTGAAAGTACCAGAAAATAATAATAACAATAATTATTAACATAATTTTCTCTGCCACACCTACAAGCAGGGGGTAGCCCTGTTGGAATGGAGATGCAAATCCCTGTAAGTCAAACCAAGTCAAGCCAAGCCAATAGATGTATACTGAAAAGGGCTACTGTACTGTCTCGTACACACACGACTGTGTGACCAACAGCTCCATCACTATTGTCAAGTTTTCTGACGATGTGATTGGCCTGATGAGAGGTAAGAACCCTGACATCTTAGTGCCAGCCCAACGACAAGTAATTGGTCTGTGCATGTTGAAATAATGAAATGACAGACATATCATGTGTTGATCAGATTTCAATGAAATGTGGTTTAATGATCCCCAGAGGATGACAGTTTTAATGTTAAACAGCAAAAAGTACAGATTTACACGATGCTTCCCAAAGTATAACCTCCTTGATTTTTAATGACTCCATTAAAGTAGCTGTTTGTTCCAAAATGTTCTTCATCATAGTGAACACTGCAGCATCTAGGTGCAGCCAGATGGGCCTAATACTGTTTGTCCATATATTCATTTAGACATACTAACCAATGGGTAACTGGTTTCATCTCCAGCTGCATCAATATAAAAGCCTAAATTTGGAACATAATTACTGTGACATGTCACAAAAGGGCCGATTTAACAAAGATTCAACATGCTGTTATTTAGTACCCCCCCCTTATTTGGTCTTGACTCAAAGGAGAACCCTCCCCATTCCAAATGGCCGTGCATTAAGCCTCTGTGTTGCAATTCAGAGCAGGCAATCATAAAAAGCAAATTAAGCAATAGAAAAATACCATGTCAGTCGAATATAACTCCATGCAGAGATGCACATGACAGTCATCATGAGACACATTAACACCCCTATTAATTTAAAAAGAGTTAAACAGTCAGGGCTGATTTTGGATCTGCCTAAATGTCTGAAAGATAGCACTATACATGAGCAGCTGCAAAGTTTATGAAGCTTTTTATATCAGTTGTAAATTAATTGCCATGAAAATGACAGACAACCCCCAATAAGAGACTTCTGTCATATAAAATTAACAATTTGTCAGCCTCAGTGTGAGAACTGGATAGCAGCAGATAGATGTATTGATGAATTGTCATCCAGATGTGAGAGAGGAATGATCCAGCATCTGCGCTACAACAGACTGACACGCTGTTAAAATGTCTCCCCACTGAAAGAATCACGATCCTCCCGGTCAAATCTCTGTCTCACAGCACTCTCTCTGAAGTAGGATCATTATTCTGATCCAGCAAAAGATTTTAACACCTCTGACTCTTTAAGATGGTCATATTTTCTTTTTGTCCACACAGTTCCTGAGTCTATTGGTGGACAGACAGAACCAATGAAGCTGACAAAAGAGATGGAGCTATCTCTCAGTGCCTCTAACAATTTAAGTTCAGGTTTATCATCAGACCATCAGGTCCGGGCCATTCAGCAAGCTCCAGTGAAGACCCTTTGCACTACCAGATCTTGGGCCTGGGCCTGAGACTGCTTCATTTCCAGGAGATCAGGTCATGGCTCATCATAAGATCAACATATCATTGTCCTAGAGCTTACATCTGAGTACCAAATTGCATGGCAATCTAACAGTACAGGACTCACAACTACAAACATGAACCCCATGTTGGCGCTGTAGGAGAAGTCGGGGTCATCAAAGTCAGTACTGGACCAAGAAATGTATATAAAACTTCATGGCAATCCATCCAATAGTTGGATGGCACTTTCTGTGCTGGGAACAGACCTTAATTTTATTAAAACCTACAAAGACTAGACACCCAAACTATTTCCACAAACCCAAACACCAATAGCAATGAAAAAAACAAAAAGGTGTTCATAAAGTGCTTTACATACACACAACAATAGCAGCAATAAAGAATAAGATTAAAAGCAATATATGAGGTAGACAGATACAAGCAAAGACACACCAATCAGAGTTACCGTTAAAAAGAGATTATGAACATATACGATATATAAACAAAGTACAGATGCTCTAATAGAGAAGGTCGGTCTCCTTTAGTCTTTGGCCTGGACTGTGGAACAACCTAGAAGGGCCAGAAAGAGTAAATCTTAAAGTAATCAGTATGATCTTAAAACCAGTTATAAATCTAAATCAGCCAGTGCACATGTGCTAAAACTGAGTTCATTTGGTCTTTATGTTTGGTGCCTATTAAAACTCAAGCAAATGTACAAATTGGAGATGTGAGATAGATTTTTTACTGAAGCAGGTACAGAATGTGACAAAACAAAAGCATAATGGACTCCCCAAATCCTGCAAAAACATGAAAAGTCTGTCTGTGACTCTACCAAAACAGAAAACTCAACAGTTATCCCTGCTCATTTATGCTGTGATTTGCGTGAAAAAGACAACTACTAAACAAAGGAAAAATATTAAATTAGACATTTGGACCAACTGGTTTCAGTCAGTTGTGACACCCAAATCATAATCACAATGTGTCTGCACCCCAGTACAGGTGTTTCCTACAGCAACATATGCAATCATATAACTAAGCAACGAAAACTGATCAGGTGTTGGGCAGAGACAGTCAAATGTAGTGAGAGCATTAAAAGCTGCAGTAGGTTACTTGTATAAAAATAACATTTTGTCATATTTGCTGAAACTTTCACTATATCCTGACAGTGGAACATGAAACAGATAATCTGTGAAACAATCAGGTTCCTCTGGCTCCTCCTAGTGATGGCATTTGCAAGAATCCACCAGTCTAAAAAAGTGACCTACTGCAGCTTTAATGCAGAGATGTCATATGAGAATTCGGCCTTTTTTTAAATGTGAACTGGGGTGTATTGAACACCTTGTCGTATTTTGCACTGCACTGCCTTCATACACATCGCTGCTGATCACACTGGTAATACATCTGACACACCCACCAAATGAGAGAAAGTCGACTTCAAAGCCTTTTTCACACCATTTCAAAGTGTTGTTCATAAACATAGTACACCGTTTAGAGATTGAACGCACCCAGTTGGTGAAATCCAGGTTTCCCAGGTGTTGGCAATCTGGATTTCATCAACAGGGATTTGAGGGAGGGAGAAAACAAACTATTTTCTTTGTGTGTGTTTTAGTTTATTTTTCCTGTCAGCCTACAGTGATATTAACACCAGCCTTAATGTACTGTTATTTCAAAGTTAAAACTTGAATGTAGAACATG